TAAAGCATTCTGAAGCTCTTGCTTCAGTTTGCTGTGTAGATATGTCCAGTACAGATCTATTCCCTTTATATGATCTAATATCTCTTCCTCTCAGGCTAAAAGGGCTACTTAATTCTGTCATGAATGTTATCCACTCTTTGTTGCAGAATAAGAACAAAACTATAAATATTTAGCTCTCTAAGCAATTGAGGCTTTCCTCAATTTATAAACGTATTTCTTTTTACAGAAAAAATAAAACTGTTACTGAAAGAACTCTGGATATGCATTGACGGTGCCACAGGAAAAAGAGAGAATCAGGAAAATGATTACATCTTGGGTGAGATGGCATGCAAAATGTTTGAGTTTTCTTGATGCTTATTCAGTTTTTCCAATCAAAAATAAATATTGCTAACTTCTTTCCTCAGCCTCTGGTCAGCATAAGGCACGGCCTGAGAAACGAAGACACCTTGTTACACAAGGTAGGTTCCAGTGAATGTAAACAAACTAAATTAATGCAAGTACATCAATTTATCCTTACTGAATATATCATCAGATTGGGTACTGTTAGCATAACACAGTAACACAAGAAGAGTAAGAACTGTGATGCTGCATGAGTATTTCTGTAGCTGTTTCTCCAGTGTGTGTACTAACCCATTATTTTTATTTTCTATATTGCTGTGGTTTTCTGTAGTTTAGTCTGCCCAGATACTGCCTGAGAGAAGAACCCTATTGAGAGCTTTGAAGATGAGCTATGCCCTCTCCTTGCCCTGTTAAGTCTGAACATCTGCTACCAGTCTAGACCCCAATGAATCCAGTGACAGATTAAATTATAGTGAAATCCACTTTATAGGTGCCAAAATACAAGGATAGATCTGTCAACCTGGTTATCACCCTTGCATCTGTCAGCCTCTGATCAGCAGATCTGCAGCTCCAGAACTAAGCTAGGCAGTTGTCCCCTTAGATTCCGAATGTGATTCCTTACCAAGGGTCAGACATTGCAGAGGTTGCCGTCCTGGTTCTTGTCATGTGGGTGACTTCAGGAGTGTCATATTCCAGTGACATCCTCTTCCCCCGGCAAGTGGAGCGTTAGATTTAGGGCCTGAGCTGCCTGTTTTTCCCCATTCGCTTCTGACAGAGTTTGTAGTGGTTTCACAGGTGGAAGTCCGTTTTAGTCGGTCCCTGCCTTACTTCTGTTGGGATGGCTGGGTATTGGAGAGGTAGATGATGCTTTCAGTTGCTTTTTTTTTTTTCTTCCCCATCCTTTCTTCTCTTTAAGTGCAGGACAGCCATTGTGTTGCTTTGCCTCATGAAAGGGGCCATTACTTTGGCGAGCAGGATTCATAAGATCAAAATGCTAATGATGTTAATGAGTTAGGAGTTTGCCTCAAGTTCCCATCCAAGACAGTGACAGTTTCACGTTTGGGAGCAAATCAGCAGTCAACTCTAGCAAAAGAGTTCAGTAAAGTAGTGTGTGATCCTAAAACTTATAAGGTGTTGCTGTAATTAAAGGAGCTTTTCAGAGCTTTCTTATCTGTGGAGAAAAAAGGTGGGCTTTTTTGTTTGAATAGTCCCTATTCCTAGTGCAACAGTTGAGCTGCTGCATGAAGTGACTGACGTGAATTTTGGAAATGGAGTTTTGATGAGTTTTCCTACCTGAACCTTCAGCATAACAGAACGTTATTATAAGGTTACTGGGAAACAGATCTCTGAGAGGCCATTTTCATGTCTTGAACTAAATATTTTTGAATCTATTTTCTTATAGATGGGCTGTTTTGGAGTGTCTTTGCAAGCTGTAGCAGAGGATAAACTGCCACAGCAATAGGAGTGATGAAGGATGCTTTCCCTGTTCCCATGTGTCATTTCTGCCAGTTTAACAAATTGGTTTGGAAGATAAAATATATTTATGTGCTGTGGTTTTTTTTAATATATAATGGTACATGGACATGCAAAAAACAAGTTTGATAACTTCTTCAGATACTGGCTGAAACTGTGTCCAGTGTTACTTCTGTGCACTATAAATAGGAGCAGACTCAAAAAGAAGTCTTACAAAAATTGCAAGTACTCCACAGTAGGTGCTAGTTCCATGTGGCACGCTGGAATTCTACGAATTGTCAGTTTCTATGGGGGTAGCTGGTAGGGGGTTTACTGGAAGTTTTTTTTTTTTCTCCTGTTCCAAAATCACATAATTCAATTTCAGAATCCCACACAACATTTGGACATACTTTCTTGATACTGTAATAGCTCTATAAAACAGATCTAGTTGTCATTGCTTGGGAGGGGTTATCAGCTTCTCAATGTCTTTCCTTCTACAAGTGGTTCAAACACCCATCTTCTCTGCTTAAAAAAGCGAAGCAACAGAAAAAAAACACTTGTAGGAAGCTTTCTTTCAGTTCTGTTCTCCTAACAAACATAAATACACAGAGAATCTAGTACGAATAAGCTGAAGAGTGAAATTTAAAGAATGAACACTTTAAAAGCTTGTACGTATGAAATCATAAAACCAGGTGTATTCTTGTGTGTAAGGCTGGATGTGATCAACCTGCATGTTTTGATTTAAAGGTAAAAGCGCAGCTGCTGGCTCGAAGTGTCAGGTTGTTCTAAGCTGGGAGTCAAAGGGTGAGAGGGGAATGTCCCTGCATGCTTATCCTGCTTCAGTGAGTGCCAGGTACTAGGCTAAAGCTGGAGACACATCACCGAGCTGTGAGGACCTCTGGTCTGACCCAGTGTGGCTCTTCCTGGCTGGAAGAGTTGCAAAGAGTGGTCTTGGTGGTGCATCACGGGGCGGTTCTTTGTGCAGTCACATATCTTCTGCATCGAGAAAGAAATACTTGTGAATAATAACATCTGATGTCTCTAGGGAAAATATATCTCAAAGAGACTTTAAGTGCTGGTTATGGTCTATGGGACCACTTCTTGAAAAAGTGGTAAGGCGGAGGAAAACATATTAATTTCTTCACAATATTTTTGTTTCCTAGAAACTGTACGAACTCGCCCCAAGATGAGGACACCTGACAAAGTGCTGCCTTGGCATTCTGTGCTAGACAGTGCTGAGAAACAGAAATCTGTAGCTGCCACGCAGCTTCAAGTCGGTACAGAGCCCCTTGGAGATGACCATCTTGAAAATGGGACTACTGCAGAAGGTCTGCAAGGTTGTACTAATGATAGTGCTTTTTGTGAGGACAAAACTATAGATGTTATAGTACAGACAGAAGGGGCACACAGCAGTTCAGACTTTTCTGAACAGGAGCAAAAAAGCCCATGTGGAAACGTGATGGATATTTTAAGTTGGGCCAGGCCTCTCCCTGCTCTGCTTTCTCCAGTGCAGCTTTCACCACTAGCTACAGAGGTGAGTTTCAGGATATGCGTGAATTGGCAGTAACTTGGTCAAGTACTGTAAAACTTAACAATTTGGGATGCTGCTCTTTTCGTTTCCTCTCATTGCTGGGGGAGGGTGGTTGAGCATCTGTTACTTCTGTGCACTGGATGGGGTTTTGTGTCTCTGTGTTTAGATATACATATATACCTTTTTCTGATCTCTGTAGTATACTGCTTGTTTCTGAAGTATATTTAAAACAAAGTTGATAATGTCTCAATTGCTGTTATAACTTCTTTTCCCAGTGCTACAGACTTACAATCCTGATTTGGGGGTGATGGGGTAAGCCTAGCTCTTGTAACAGACTTTCAAATCATGAAACTTGAGGGAGAACTATTTCAAGTGTTTTGGTTTGTTTGTAATTTTAGAATGCAAGTTAGTAGGCAAAGAAGTGTGAAACGTTTCTGTTCACAAATGTGCTTTCCACTTACTGTGAAAAGTAATGGTGAAGAGGAATTTATTTCCAGTCATCAGCCTTTGTATTGCTAAGTCACTGTGCATCAGGGCTGCCATTGTATTTGTTGAGAGAAATACAGGCCTTGGACTTGATAAGGGGCTTGAAGAAAATTAATTTCTTTGTATTTTTAATTGAAGGATGTGTTGTTTGGAGAGGTCACGGATTCCAGCGATGAAGAGGTTGATTGCGGTGTCTCTGCAGTGGAGGGTGTTTTAGAAGAAGGCAGAGCTCAGCCTTGGCATTGTAACGTACTCGGCCTGAGTGAAGAGCATGCTCTTGATGCAGGAGTTTTGGGTAACCTGAGAAGCAGTGAAAAGGCTGTTCATGCTGGTCCAGAGATGCTAAGTAAGGAGGAGGGAGATGCTTCAACGGAGCAACGTGAGGCGACTATTTCAATTATGAGCATGGAATCTAGCAAAGAGCTCTTGGAGAAGAACTCTGAGAATGTGAAAACTGAGAAGATAGAACTACCAGACATAACAGCACATAATCTGGAAGCCATTCAAGAAGAGAGAGGAGATATTGAGGACATGCCCACTGAATGTGGAACCTTTTCAACTGATCATATGTTAGGCGGTTTCCCACCTCAGAATTGGATGGAAGAATGTGATGAGGTAGAGCAAAAAGAGGAGAATGTAGTCTTAATTGGAGCTGTTGATTACGAGGGTAAGTGTGAAAACGCTGGTGAACCATCTCCTGCTTTCATTAACTCATCATCAGAGAGAGAAACTACTGGGGCTGTGTCTGTTCCCCAAAATATTCCCTTGCCTCCTGAGCAAAGCGTGTTTTTGCTTCAAAGTGACAATTCTGAGGAGAAATCTATTGTTTTGGCAGAGAATGAAGTAGTTGAAAATGGAGTCAAAGATGTAACCAAAGTAAATAATATGGCAAGTGATACAGAAGAAAACATAGAACAAATGGTAATTGGAGAGGAAGTAACAGCTGCAGCACAGGTAGAAGGATCCTGTGCAGAGACAAATAACGAGGCGAGGCTCTCTGAAAACATGCAGTCTGACTGCAGTAATTCTGAATTCTGTGAAGCAGAGCCTGCTGAGGACCTCATGCTGCAGCGTCACGGAGAGAGCGTGGAGACTGAGGGAGACACTGGAGCTCCTGAGGTCTCTGCTCACTCGCAGAGCTCTGAAATGAGACAAGATGGGGAAGAGATACTGAAGAAACAACGTGTGCCTAAAGAAAAATACCAAGGGGATGAAGACCGCAGAGCGGAGACCTGTAACGTTTCCAGACATCACTTGCTTGTATTGGCTACTGAAGAAATCAGAAACTCACTGTATGTAGATGACAAAGGGAGAAATGCAGGTGTGGACAGGATTTCTTCCTGCTCACCTGTTCCAAAAGATGATGAAGAGCTCAAGATGCAAGAGGTGAATGCTCCCAAGCCTGAGACTATTGAACTAGCCTTGAGCTTGAACAAAGATGATGTTCCAGAAATAGCTGAATCATCAGAATTACTTCATAGAGCAGAAAAAGGGGTATTGCCAGATGTAAAGGAGGGGGATTCTTTAAAAGTTAAACTACACCAGGAAGAAAAAGACAATAATTTATTGCAAAAGGAGTCAGACTTGAAAAGCACACTGGCCTTGCAAAAGACAGCATGCGTTACTGACGCAGAAGATGAGGAATCTAAGTGCGTCTCTCCTGTGTTTGATTTTACAGAAGGAAATGGTGAAATGAAACAAGGTGAAAACATGTGCGGTGCATTAGACTGTGCATTTTCCAAAACTCAGAACATAGAGATTGAATCTCAAGAGACTGAATTCAAAGTTAAACCAAAAGATTTTGGAGGGGAAAGCAGTGAGCCGTTCAAAATGGAAGAAGTGGATTCCATCCAACCTGTCTTAGCAGAAGGCAAACTGACTTCTCGGGCACAGTTTGAAAAATGTTCAAATCACCTCTCAGTAACTGAAAGTTTTAAATACAGTGGAATAGAAGGGGAACTAAATAAGCAAAGCAAGGAAGTGGTGACTGAGAACTGTCCCAGTTCGCTTAACTGTGAAGATGGTATTGTGAAGAAGATTTCAGAGATCATGTGCCAGGCTACATCAGAAAAACATTTTAATGGTGGATTGGCTTCCTCTACTCAAGAGGTTTTGGAGACAGTGTGCGTAAATACTGAGGAAATGGATCCTCCCGTTCAAATGAAAATTGGCTTGGAGTCTCCAGTGCCTACTGATCCCAATTTCAGTCTTCAGGAAGTTGGCAGGTTTGAAACTAATTTCACAGAAAATACCACTGACGCCCATATATGGGAAAATGGGAGAGATAAAAAGGATGTGATATGTAATGTGTTTAACTGCTCTCTGGTAAGCATGGGAGAGAGCTCTGAGATCCTACCTGCTGAAAAAGAGAGTTCATGCAAAGAACTGGACTGCCCTGAGAGGGAATACATGCCTGAAAATGAAGTGGAAATTCCAGGTGAGAAGGAACAGCCGGTGGATAAAGAACCTCATCTGTCAGCAGAACCACGTATCCTGGATGCAAACTCCTCTGATAATTTCTGTTTCCAAAAGCTTTGTGAAGAATTAGGATGCAGGACCTCTGTGTGGGAAGCTGGTACAGATCCATCTAGAACTGATGAACAAACAGCTGGAGGAAAAAGTAAAGAATTGGACAGTGTTGAGAAACCTGAGCGAAGTGACAGTAAAAAGTCTAAAAATGCTTTTGAAATCCTAGAACAGAGCAGTGAATCTGAAGAGAAAGTCTGTCCTGTACAAAAAGACAGGTTTGTGGAAGCGTCTGACTGTGTTCCAATGTTCAGAGAGGACTTGAGAGTTTCCAGGATGACTGTGGTGGAGGCTGTGGAAACTGGTGCAATCGCTGACACTGGTTGCCACCAAGTATGTGAACTTCATTCCACAGGGCCCCCGGATACGATGGAGACACCCAGTGCAGATACTATAACAGATAGGGATGCACACTGTGAAGCTAACTCCTCTTCAAGTACTGTAAACAAGTTGTCAGGTTTGGTCGGGGAAGATTGTCCTGAAGACTTGCCTCCTGTGGAAAGAGGACTTTTATTAGAGACCTCTGAAGATACCCAGGGTGCCTGGGAATGTAGGGGTGATTCTCATGGTGCTGAGGGAGTCCATAGCAAGGGGGAAAGTCTGATAAAAGCTGGAGCTTCAGGGGAAAGCTTTGCAATGCCAGGTCCTCCAAAAGATAGGTTACCATTAATGACATCCTCAGAAACATATGGACTTGCTGTAAAAAACAGTGAATCGGATACAGGAACATTAGCACTTAGCAATTTCTTAGAAGGCAGTGATTCTGGAAAACATCAGTTGGATGTGGAGCAAAGTCAATTACGTAGTGTTGATATAGGGGTATCGATGCTTGAAGAATATAATCATAGTCAAACTCCAACTATCTGCAGTTTGAGAGACACCAACACTAATGCTGTGCAAGGTGGCTTTCAGCCTTCTCGTTGTAGTTGTACCTCTTGTGCTCAGAAAGACATTCTGAATAGTGATGGGAAAAACTGCTCTGCCAAACCTTCTCCAAACCCAGCCCCATCCGAAGCAGTGTGCAACTCTCAGACACTCAGCCAGCCTTCCGAGTTGGAAAAAGAAACTCCTGAAAAGCCATGTATGTTGGAGTTAGGTTCCTGTGTGGATGTTTCTCTCAAAAAGAACAATACATTGAAGAGCAAAGTGCAGGAACCATCTGAAGTGTTGACTGCGTCAGCTGAGACAGCCGTCCAGGTGACGCATGGCAGGCTGTCCAAGAGGCTGGCTCGAGGTAAGGGAAGGAAAAACACCCTCAAAGCCAAGGCGGCTCAGCCGGTTCTTGCAAATGCTGATACGTCTGTGCCCACAAAATGTTCATCTGAGACTATAAATAAAATTAGGCAGGAAATGGGTCCTCCTCTGCCACCTTTGCTGCTGCCTTTGCTTGCTACTCCTCCAAGAGCTGCGTGTTCTGCATCCCCAGTAACGACTTCATCTGATCGATGCTCCTTGCTTTCTCCTCTTGACGACCTGATATCCCCACTGCGTGAAACTCCAGTTCCTCCTCTCATGTCTCCGTTGACAGATACTCCGACAGTCAAGTCCGCCCTTTTGTTTTCCCCTCCATCTCCCTCGGAAATGCCAGTAGGTAGAAGAATTCTCTCTTCTCCTTTGAAATTCTGTACTTCCATTCCAAAGCATGCGCTTCCTGTTCCAGGAAGATTCCCTCTGTGTGCAGCTGAGGGTGCTGCTCCAGTTGTTGCTCAGGAGAACTCTGTGAGAATCCTGGACACTATGTATCCGGAGCTGTCTGCAAGGGCAAGAACACTAAACATTTTGAAAGGCAATATTCAGCTTAACCGAAGCGCCCTTCCAGATGGCCACAATTTGCCAGGGCCTGTGACCCAAATAGGTGGGTTCAAAGCAATTGCATCTACATCAACTGCTTTTGTTAAAACTGGCAGCAATTTGAAAGCTGACAGTAGCAAAGAACAACCCAAAGACACTCAAGACCAGCAGCTGTTTTCCAGTGCACTGAATCGTGCTGGGAAAAGGACACTAATGCCAATGCCAAGAAGTGCAAAGAGGCTGAGGTTGGACAGCGAATCGCCAAAGCTGGAACCCAGTGACACTGCTGCTGTCAGAACAGCTGAAAATAAAATGCCTGAAGAGCAGGGGCCTTTGCATGTCAAGAGCTGTGAAATCAGTGAGTCCAGCTCCACTGCACAAGCATCTTCATCAGCAAAGAAGGTTATTGATGCTGATTGCCAAATAGTTACTGTGGCACTGAAGAAAATTGCTGAATCCTGTTTCGACTTGTTACCTGTTATTCGAAGTCACGTGTACGTAGGCAATATCTCAAAGATCCCAGTAATGACAGATGAAGAGAAAGAAGTTGTCTACGAATTTGGTGTCACAAACAAGGTATGTAGCATTCTGGCTTTGAATAATGACTCCTGTGTGGATGAAAGGAGTGTTAGTGTGCAGGGGTTAAACCCTCAATGGGGCAGCCTGTTGTGCTGAAATGTATTCTCAAAGGGTTATGGAGTATATTCTGAACTTGTGTAACTCTAACAAATATAGAACTTAATAGGAAATGAAGTCATGGTTCAGTGGGGTCCAAGATGTGAAACTGCACGTGTAAACAGGTTTGCTTCCCCGATATTTGCATAAGGCATTTTTTAACTCTACATCCTTATTTGTAGCTAGTGGAGTTAACTGTAGAATGAGTTTTCAAAGTATGAAATTTGATCCATCCTTTTTTTTTTTTCAATTAAGAATATAAGCTGCATCATACATACATGCATTTATATATGTATATTATAGTGGCATACCGTTTTGTTCCATGTTCACCTTAATTATCATGGTACACAGAGCTATTCAAACAAATGTTATTCAAGAAATCTTTTATTACTTTGTTTCTCAGAACTTGTTTTGCATCAGAGTTGAAAATGCTTGCCTTGGTAGCCCTATCATTCTCAAAGGTGACTGGAAGTCTGCAGCAGGGTAATCTACCAGCTGACCCACGACAGCATTTTGCCTCTTTTCAGTTCAATTTCAGTGTTTTCAGCGCTCAGAAAAATGCTGCTCTCAGCTTGGCTCCCCCAAGCCTTTAGCTTTTGCCTTGAACATCCTATAGTAAATCCTGCATAATCCCAAATTATTGCTCCCCTGCTCATCCCATAGCAAGCCCTGCAGGCAGTCACCTTATCCCAGCCAGTCTTTAAAGAGGTCTGGGTAGCTCTGCTGCTCACTGACCTGGCATGCCCCACACGCAGTGGCTGCCTGTCCCTCTGTGGCAGCCTCAGGAGCAGCCAAGTCAGAGGGCTTCGTTTGCTTAGGTTTGGTTATTAGGGTTTCTCTGCCTGCCATCGTTCTTTTGTTTATTATTCTTTTTTAATTTTATTTATGAAACTGAGATTTTAGTCATATTCTTTAGCAGTCTCCATTTAAAGAATAGCATTCCCATTCTGCATCTGCTTAAGGTAAGTTTGCTGTAGGAAGTCAGTTCTTGCTTTGGTTATAATTTTTTCTTTTACTAATTTTCTGATTTAATGAGGTGCATTTTGATACTAATAAACGGTATTTCTGCAAATACACTGGTAAGTCTTGTTTACTATATTCTCTGGTATAGTTTTGACCTCTTTTTGTACCTTGCAGCATTTAGCAGAGTCACTGCTGAACACCGTTCTCAGTAAACTCAAGACTCATAAGACCACTTCAAATCACAATTTCACTCAGGCTCTCTGTAGAATTTATGTAGGAATTTGTCGGCAGCTGGGAGACCTGGAAAGAGCCCGCCTGTTCTGCTATAGCTTACTCAAAGAAGGTATAGTATGTCTTGGTCATGTTGCTGTGGTGTTACAAAATGATTCTACTTATGGAGGGTTTTTTACTATTGTAAAAAGCTCATTTTTCTCTTTGATTTAGGAAGCTCTGTGCTTTTTTTTGTGTGTGTGTGTTTTTTTTGTTTGTTTTGTTTCCCCCCTCTCCTAAAATAGTGCTCTGAATTCAGGGAATTCTTCGCTTCCTGTTTATTAGTCCTTTCTAATTGTTAGTAAGTAAGCATGCACTGATTCATAAAGCAAGTGTAATAAAGCTCAGCTTAAAGCAGTACCAGGGTCAGGCACTTCGTTTGGTGCTTGGTTTGATGTATATTTGTATGCTGTCCAGTTCTAATGTGACTTCTAAAAAATTTTAACAATTGTGCTTAACTGAAAAGGGCATATGCATTTAGTTTGCTAATCTTATGGGTTTCTTTTTCCTCTTTTTTTTTTTTCCCTTTTTTTCCCCCTTTTTTTTTTCCTTTTTTGGTTACATCTTTTTTTCTTGCATATCGCAATGCACTTCTTAATTCCTTGCTGTCTATACACTCAGCTTCTATTTTAATATTAGTTTGCCTAGAAGATCTCCTTTCCAGTGTTCAGAAGGATCTATGAGCTTTCCCTGAATTTTATCCTTTCCTAATTTTGTAGCTCTGGATACAGCCTTTTGTAGCACAAAGTACTCTATGCACCTTTCATTGCAGCTTTCCCTTGTAGCAGTTATGCCCATGCAACCCTTTACTGAGGAGCAAAACATATGTTTGTTCCTTCAGTGCAAATATATAAACTATATAGAAACCACAGTTGATGCGCTGTGAAACACAGGGTTTTTGAGGGATAGGAGAAGCAGCAGGTGCCTAGGAGGAAAGAACTGGACTTTCATGACTTTTGGCTTGCACTGAATGTGATTGTACTGATACTTGCTCTGAATTCATTCTGTAAGGTTCCTTCAGTTGTATCAGCAGCAGACCTTCTGTTTGTGGAAATAGGAGTTTTGACATTCGCCCTTCATATAAATTAGCTTACATATATTTTTTCTGGTAGGATTTGGGAAAATAGCTGAGCAAGGTCAAATTTCATGAATACATTGCATGGAAGTTCTTTGGAGAAAAAAAAAAAGGTTTTACATATGTAAATTCCATAAGTGTATGTGTGTAAGATATTAGCATGAAGTGTCTGTATTGAGGAGCTGATGTTTGTGTTACACATGTCAAGACTTTTTTTCTTCTGGACTAGCTCTAGCTTGGTCCAGTGATCTGAGTTTTCATTTTTTTCCATGGGAGCGGAATGCATAGGCTCCTGGGTGGTCTCTTGGACTTTAATTTGCTCCTAAAATCATCCAGTTCCTGTGCTTCAAGACCACTCTGCTGGGTGAGCTGAAGTAGGGTAAGGATGAAGTGAGACTAACCTCGGAAGCCAAAGGGAATGTTCAATTGCTTGTTTGTTTGTTTTTTTTTTAATATTAAAAACTTGCTTTGTTCTTTCTTTTCTCTTAGACTTTCCCAACTCGGAGAAATTGATTTTATTTATCACAACTGTGTGGCCTGACATGTTTTCCTTCCAAGGTGTGATTAACAAAGCTCTGCAATTAGTTATCAGGCAGCGTGTCAAGGATGAGGTGCTGGCCTGCCTGAGCGCTTATCTGCCCTGGGAACAGGTAACTTCTGCTTTCACTGCCTGTATCAGTTTTTGTGTGTGTTGGTGCCCTTTCCAAGTCAGGCAACTGCTACTGATGAAGGGTGTGAAGATACCCAGGGAAGCTGCCATAGGGTCTGTACAGCTGCACAGCTAATGCTGCTTCAGGCTTTTTTCTGTGGTGTCTGAACCTTGTTAGAATACAGCACTCTCCTTGTTAGCCATGAGGAATGTAATCTTTCTATTAAACCCTTGAAGCAAGCATTGTTTTTAAACTTCGACTGGTGTGTTCTTGACCCAGGGCATAGATCTGTGTTCTGTCCCTGCACAAAACTAGGACTCTAATATACGCTGAACATTTTTTTTAAAAAAAAAATAAGCATTAGGCTTTTCTGTCTTCTGTAGTTCACCATGTAACCAGTAATTGCCCACATCAGTAGTTTTCAAGATAAGCCCCAGTCGTTTTACCCACGATCTTTCTCTCAGGGAGGTTGTTAATCCTTGTTTACCACAAGATGCCAGTGACCCCAGTTTCATAAGGGATTGAAGTGGTCAGTGCAAAACTGCTTTCTGAAGTGGTGGTAAAGGAAGGATGAGCAGGATGTTACAGACCTAAGGACTTCTGTGCTTTGGGTTTAAGCCTTTGAGCCCAGATCTTGCTGTATGACCTTGGGAAGCCATCGAATTTCTGTCAGCTTGAAGCAGGCCTAACATTTCCTACCTAACAGAGACGTTACAAAGAGAAGTGCAGGAAAAATTCAGAGTCACTTGTACCAGTTGGAGAAAACTTATGTTGTGCAGATGGCAAGCCAGACATGCTTTGCTTCTGGAAACGGGAGTGTGTGAGACTTGTGCATTTGCTTGAAAACCAGTGCCCCACTTGCTTTAAAGACCCCATACGAATGCCAGGCGTACTGGGAGGAAGCACTGAATGTCTGTGAACGTGAAGTGAACAAAAACCATCTTGGTTTATGGCTCTCCCGTTCCCTTGAGTGTGCTGCTCCCTGTCAGCCTTCATGACTGTAGCTGTCAGCATGGCCTCTAAGCGTTGTACTTGCTGGAAAAGCATTACTATTTTTATTTTAGCTCTGAAGCCAGCTGTGCCTTTCATATAGTATCAAGGGAATTACAACCCTTGAGCCTTTTGATCTGGTGCAGGCTTATTGGGGGTGAGTTGGGAGGCATGGGTTTGCCTGTGCTTTTTTGCTGAGTCAGTTTGGGGCTGTAGCACTCGGCTCTGCTGCTCTATCCGGTGTGGGCGATGCTGCAGTTCTTGTTTAGCCAAGGACTTGTGCTCCTCGTCTGGCTGGGGCGCAGCTCTTAGACCCGGGCTGGCGGCGAGCGCGGCTCAGCGGGAGCTCCCGGAAACCCGAATTCTCCACCCTCGTGCCACCTCTGTGACGTGAAGCTCTGTGCAGTGTGGGAGCTGCTGCTCTTCGCTGGCAGCGTGTGCATTTTGAGATGCATCATGAGAAGTTACTCTGCTCGCTAAACTGGAATTTGTGTAGAGTTAAGATTTAATTCTTGGCCTGGGCATGCCGTTTTAGTGACACATACCTCTGCAGGGCTTGCTGATTACATGAGTTCCTGATTGTTTTACAAGTGCTTTATTATTACTTAATTTATTTATATATATTTTTTATTTGGAAATCAGCCACTAGTGAACAGTTAATTGTAACAAATTTCAGCTTTAGAAATCATTAAAAGAAAAAAAAATCAGAAATTAAGCAGGACTAGTCTCACTTTTTTTTTTTTTTGCACTGCCAAGGGTGCATGGTGAGTCATTTTCCTGTGTGATGAGTTTTTTTAGTTTGTTTCATTTTGGCCAAATCCAAAGTTGAATTAATGGTGTCAGATAAGCTGCAATAAGAAGAGCAATTGCTGTAGGCAGACAAAGTGGAATGTTTGTGTGTGTTTCAGGGTTGGTAATTTTTCTGGCATTAAGATTACTATCTGTTGAAATCCCAGAGTTCGCCGTCGGATGCTGGTGATATGGTCTCAAGCCTGCTTGCAGAAATGCAGTCGTGTCCAAAAGCAGAATTCCGGCCGAGCGAGCGTTACGGGGAGGACCTGAATGAAGTTGCGTGGCAGTTCATATTTGCTGTTGATCTCCTCTGCTCCCACCTGAAGTGGGACTGGACACATGACAACGTCATAAGGTATCGTGGCAAGCAGCAGCTTCTTCAGATGTCAAGTTTTCCTGTATTTCTTCATACCTGAGAGGCGACGGTTTTTGTTTGCCCTGCATGTGTGTGTGATCACTGAGCAACGTAGGCCTTTACAGTACTGCTCCAGTCAACTAACCCCATGAAAACCAGCTTAACAATTTCATTTTTTAAATGGCTATACATGAAGGGTTTTCAGCTGCACTAATTGTTAAGAAAGCAGAATGCTTGGTTGTCTTCTCTGAACTTAGTTCATGATTTTTCCAGTTACTGAAAAACTAAAGTGGAACTTGTGAACTACGCTGCTTGGGTGCTCAAAAATAACAGTATGGGTGGCTTTCACTAGTGTGCTATTCTATTTTCAGCTTCCATAAGCCTTTTTAATGAAGTTGTTTTACAACTAGTGTTTACTAGTGCAACTAATTTACTAACTAATACACCTATTCATACTATTACAATTAATGTTTTACATTTCTTACATTTTCTTAGAGTCTTATAATGTAGACTGCTACCATACTTAGCTCAGTTTGAAAGACTTCATTTTTATATCTATATTTGAGAGCCACAATTTTGTACATAGGGATTACATTAAGGTAGTAATATCTCTAAAAATAATGTGTTTGTGAAAATATGTAACCTAATTACCTAATATGAAATAAATGTTAATAATGATAGCCAAGCTTTCTAACGATACAGATATTCCACATTTTTGTGGAATACTTTTAGATTCAATACAAACTGGCTTCAGTGAAAGGTATATAATTTTAACTAAACTCATACAGATTTGACTACCTATGCAGAGTTGTATTGATGATAAACTTAGCTCTAAGATTAAAAAAAAAAGATACTGTGTCTCAAATTCTTTTAGGTTTAAAAACAACTATCAGATCTCATCTGTAATATACAAAATGTTATTTTCCATTGATTGAAGCAGCTTGCCTAGCATCTTGACATGAAACCTCGAAGTAGTATGATTTCATAGATGTACATGAAGTCTGAAGGTTGGGAATGTTGCGGGGAAAGGGATGAATTTTTTTTTTTTTTTTTTTAGTTCGGGAATAATATTCTAAACAGGAATGATTCCTCTGGCAGGTCAGTTTTGATGGTTTCATTTTAAAAGCTCCTTTACATTATTCAGCTTGTGAAGGCTTGGATTGTTAAGTCTTTTCTCGAGAAGTTGAATTCAAATACAGTTGGAATTATGCAAAAAGATAGAAGAACTATTCCATGAATTGTGCACTACCCTTTTGGTCAGTATCAGTTTTTCAAATTCATTTGTCTTCCACAGCAAAGTGCTTTGGCCTTGTATGGATAAATGGATAAAAAACAGAAAAGGTCATGAAGTGGTTCAGTCCATTCCTGATACTATGATAGCATCAACACTTAGGCTAATTGGTAAGTGGTCTGAATTCTTGGTTGAATTTCTGCTTTGTAGAAATTTGTATGACCTCTGGAAGTGTCAGGGTGCCCGAGAAGTGAATTGAAATATTTGTAATATTTGTGCCCTTTTTTCTTTCTTTTTTCCTTTTTTTTTTTTTTTTTTTTTTTTTTTTTGGAGAGGAAGGGCAGGTTGTCTTCCCTCGTCTCTCTCCCACTCCCCCCCCCACTTTCTTCAAAATTTTTTATGCATATACTTAGGTTTTGAGAACTGTTGTTATTAACTTTTTTTTTTTTTTAGGTCGACTGGGCCAAATAGGTTTGAAGGAAGGATATCTTTCCGCTGTGAGGAATATTAGTTCTGTGATTGGGTTGTTTGTACAGCATGCGAAAGAAGAAGGTAATGTCTGCTTGGGGGAAATCAGTGAAAAGCCTGCAGTGTGTGAAGTTCTGTCAGTGTGAGCAGAACACCCCACCTGAGGGACACCTGCCAAAGCAGCCTGCTTGTGCACGTGTATGTCAGTGCAGAACGGGTTTGAGTTTACATCCCTGGTTAATGGAGCCCTTGCTCCCTGACCAAAACGTGGGAATACAACTGGGATGCAGCCAGCCTGGCATTGTGCTGCCACACGTAAGAGCGTTTTGGATACTTGGGATACCTGAAAGGGTGATCCTGGCGTGGGCAGGAATTGCTAGTTTGTTGCCTGAACGGTTGCCTTGCTGCCGGCAAGAGGGTGGTTAGCAGTGGAGGGCTGCAGGCCGGTCTGAATTCCTGACTGTGGGATGAAGCAACCAGTAAGGGCAGCAGAGACCTACGTTGCTCAGTTATCCCGCAGAGCGTTTTGGATACTTGGGATACCTGAAAGGGTGATCCTGGCGTGGGCAGGAATTGCTAGTTTGTTGCCTGAACGGTTGCCTTGCTGCCGGCAAGAGGGTGGTTAGCAGTGGAGGGCTGCAGGCCGGTCTGAATTCCTGACTGTGGGATGAAGCAACCAGTAAGGGCAGCAGAGACCTACGTTGCTCAGTTATTCTGGGTGTTAAGCACATGCTCAGTCTCATTTTGCAGTGAAACTTTCACTGATGCTGGGGAGGTCCTGAGCTGCTCTCGTGGCTTCTCTGCATTCCAGTTTCTAGTTACTGCAGGTAGGTAGTTTATATCTTGAGGTTTCTGCCTCGGACTCCTGTGTAAAGCTGACCCTTCTTGTAAAGGCTGGACTCCCTAGATCAGAGTTAGATCACTAGGTGCTCGAGTCTCTTGTTCCTTGTCAAATACTCAAAACCTATTAAGTTCAGAAAACTAGAGTGTGTTAGCAAAACTGAGATACGATAGAATTTAAGGCTTTTACTTGCAACTAGCAGGCCGTAAGCATCCTGATTCTTACTGTGTTTGTTTTTTCTCTAACTGCTGAAACAGGATTTTTATTATTATTATTATTTTTGTTTTAAGGCTCGAGTATCCCCAAAACATTGCTGTCTTTGCTGATTCGTGTTGCCTCTTTGCAGATGTGCCCTGGGGCGTGCAGCTGGCAGCTGTGTATTCACTGTGCGACCTGGGTGCGAGCAATCCCATGGGAATTGTTGAGGCCATCCGTGCTTGGGAAAAAACAGCTCCAAACAGCATCCCTTCTGCTGTCACAAGCAGCATAGCTGAAATCTCCTCCGTGTGCAAAACGGGCTTAAGCTAAAACCGACGGAAAGAAGCTGCTCTAAAGGGACAAGTGCCTTATTTTATTAAGCAGTGGTTGGTTACCAGTTAAAAACAATATAAGAAAGACCAGGAGGGAAATGGAGTGTAATGCAGTGTGGGTTTTTTGGCTTTTGGGCTTTTTGTTTTGGGGTTTGTTTTACTAATTGCAAGCTCAGTTGTTTTTATTTCCCCTTTGTGTTCAAGGGGTGAGAGGTTTTACAACAGCAAAGTGGTTTGCTTTTCCCAATGACTCCTCAGTGATCTGAAAGCCAAGACGACCTTTTTCCTCTCCTGAGAGATTTATGATCTGATGTCAGAAGTTTGTTGTTTGCCTGCCCTCAATCTAGAGCACTGGCTATTTGCCACAATAGAAGACTGAGCCTGGCTGGAAACCTGCTCTATTATTTTGTACTTTATTTATAAAGTCACTGTTCAGATAGCAGGACTTTACCCAGATTCTGCTCTGCTTTATGTGGGTAGTCTCATCAGTTTAATTTAAAATACTTGTTTAAGGCAAGTAGGAATTGGCTTTTTGTATAACAATCGTGTATAGAGTAACAGAGGTATTAAATCTCTGAATTTGTATATATGGTATATCCTGATAATGTGTTTCACATTTGATATTGTTCCACTTGAGGAATCTTGTGCATGTACATAGAAAGTTGGTTCAAAAAAGTTCAAATTTCTAATGATAGCTTCACTATACTCAACATTTTTGTACTTTTCATAATAAAAAATACAAACGTGTTTGTGTTCTCGCTGGTCTCTCTATAAAATAGACACAGAATCAGTTGTAGGCAGTGGAGAATGAGCGGCTCTGTGTAGCTTTCGTGCATGCAGTTTTGGGTGCAGGAGAAAATGACGTGTGAGGTTTGTCCACAGAGCTGCAGTTTGGGCTGCGGGCAAGAGGCTCTGTAGACTCTGTTGCAGCTCTTCAGGATTGTCTGTTGGTGTGGGGGCAGTGGGAATGGGTTGGGGCTTGTGCTTATTCCTAAGCTGTGACCATATGAAGGCACGAGCAGCGTTAGCGCAGGTCCCCCTTCTGATGGGGCCTGGACCGAGCCAGACCCCTGAGCTGCATCAGTCCTTCCCTCACCCCTTTGCAGCGCTCTGTCTTTTGCCCCCCTCACACCAGCCGTGAGTTGGATAACCAAGTATTTAACTCAAAGTGAAACAACCAACCTACCGATTAAACTTTTTTCTCCCGCCCATTGTGTCCTTGCAGTCAGGCCTCTGCTTGCAGGCTTGTCTTCAGTTACTTCAGTATCTTGGATTCGCAGCAAGCTCCTTACAGTCTTTTGGTCATTGTAAGGCACATCTGGGCCACCTGCGTTGCCCGTTTCTTTTGCTGGGCTGCACAGTTTGAGCTGCTCTGCAGGGCCCGCAGGCTCGCCGCCCGCCTGGTGCATTTTGCCATCTCTGGGAGGTCTGTCCTGGCGCGGGCTGAGCTGCTAATCAAGGACAAAACCGTCCTCCCCTCGCTGCAGAGTTTGAGTGGGCAGGGTGCTGCCCTCCTCGAGGGACGGGGGGCACGTTGGTTTTGTAATTACAATTACAAATTTTGTAAAGTTTTAGTTCTGTACAAATTTGCTTTATATCTGCTTCAGGTGAATGCCTAAAACCTAATAATTATTTATGCTGTGAGCAGAATCTTATAAGAACTTATTCTATATCTTCTATTTTAGACTCTTGATAGGAAGTAAAATTAATCACTTAGGCAGTAAAATCAACCCACTACTGTTTCTGAACATTCACAAGAAGCATGAAATCCCAGCAGCTTTTGTTACCTTCATTAGCTTAGTTTATCCAAAATGAAGGATTGGAATGCCCTCTATTGACAATTTAAAACTTACAGTGAAGTCAAGTATTTTATAAATGAGAAAATGGTTACTGATTGAATTACCCTTGTGCTTTCTTTTGCTTCTCTGTAGAAGTAAGTTCCTAAGTCACACATTGGTTCCACGCTGTCTTCTGGGTCGGTCCTTCTCTTTGCAGCGTGTGTGGCTGGCACGTTCTTTCTGAGGGCTGGCAGAAGGTGCAACAGGTCTGCCTTGCTCCTCATTTTCTCAACGAATTGCAGTATTTAGTGTTCCTATCCTTTTGTGTGTTTTGATTACAAACATATATTTCTGTGCCACTTGTGATGATCATATCCCAGTATATAATTCTGATTCCTGATGGTTTTACATTGTCACAGCTTGGATCCATGTGTCTGAGGTCTCTTTGAGATTGCAGCTGAAGCATGATCTCTCCAAGGTGTGGAGTTTCATCCCAGAAAGATGAAGTCTCTGGATACAGGACACTTGAGGCCATTTTAGAGCACTCTGCCTTGTCTACGATCCTTTTGAAAACTGCTAGTTCAAGAAAGCTCAGATGAGAAGTGCTGGAAGATGTCTTCTTCCTCTCTGCCTTTTTCTCACTTCCAGTACAGTGGAGGCCTCTCTGGTTGCTCTGACGCTCTCACGCCATCCTTCTGCACAAAGAAAATCTTTGCTGACAACAGTTCCTTCCAGCCACATCAAAGGCAAAGTCCAGTGAGACAGGTTTCTGCCATCACCACTTTATAATGCAGTCCTTTTGGTTGTATCAGTGTCAACTTTTTGTGGTGCTGCCTTGGGCCTAGTCACTTTTCAGCTTCATGCTAGTAGGTGTGGGGCTCTTCTGTTCCCAGTGCTGCTGAGAGGCTTGGCTTTGATGAAAAGAACTGCTGTTGATGTGTGTTCTAAGGTTTGTGCTCCTTCAGAGCCTGGCTCTACCACTGCAGTTCCCTTACTCCTTCGAAAGTTGGAGTTGCTTCGGTTTTTTTCTCTCCTTTCCCCTGAAGTAAAACTATGCAAAGATGAATCTTCACCCCTAAATTTTCATCAAGACCATGGCATTTCTGTTGGAAAGTCTGCCTCTTGTGGTGCCTTTGGATGTCTCCTGGGACAAATGCAGGGATTCATCCCTTGTCCTTTTTTTTTTTTCCCTCTTATCTTAAAGAATGTGCATCCCATACAAGTAATTCCAGATGGGCACAAGGTATGTACAGCAAGAGTTTGTTCCTCCTCTTCCTCCTCAGGTGGAGGCCCCTGCACTTGCTGTTGTTGAACTTCATGAAGTTCCTCCCTGCCTGTCACTCCAGCCTGCGGAGGTCCTTCTGAACAGCCGCATGACCCTCTGCTGTATCAGCCACTCCTCCCAGTTGTAGGTCATCCCCCAACTTGCAGTGGGTGCTTTCCTCAGCCTTAACTTCCTAAGAGGCTAGAGCCTTGCCTGGTCCTGCTTCTCTTTGCCTATTAGCAGCAATTCTTCAGGGATTCCCAGAAGTCCCCCGTGATCTCCAATAAAATCTCCAGAGATTTAAGCAGAGGCTCAAATTGCTGCAGAGGTTGCTACATAATGAGAGTGGCAGCCCTGTCTCCTGACACTGTGGCCCTAGACCTTTCTGCCTGCTCAGACCCTATAGCCAGACAAACAAGTGGGAATTTCAAAGGGGCAGCCAGAGAGGACAAAGTGAGACAGGAGAAAGGTGTTTGAGGATGGAACATCTTTCCATGTGGCTGTATGAACAAATCACATCAAGATTATTATGTCCTCTTTGTAGGTCCTCTTTGACCTACACATGCAGACCCTGACATACAAAAAAGAGGTTGAGAGTCTGCAACTCTCAGTTGAGATGCAAGAGCTCCCAAATCTCAACTTTGCAAATCCATATTTAAGTTCTATAACTTGTTTTGTCTTAGATGCTTCTGAACTGAAATTCTGTTACAACCACGGATTGACTTCTGAAATTATTCACCATCTCTAATGGTTATCACAGGATTATGAAGCCTTGGAGAGGGAAAAGATTTTGTTTTTCATTCCTTCTCTATGGTCAGATATTTTGCATGTATTTGATCCTATTTTTCTCAACCGTGGAGATTCTAAACAGTAAGTTGCTCATCTCAGGGAAAAGCGCCTGAGTTTATACACAGCACAGCTTGCTATGCATCCCTTCTCTCTGTATTCTGCCACTGACTAAACAGTGCTGCTGCTTCTGTTGTCAATTAGTACATTTTTTATCCTTCACCCTTGATTGACTGGCTTGATCTTGATGCATCTGTGAGAGCTGGTGACAATAATGTAACTGTGACAGCTTAGGGAGAGGCAGCAAGAATGCACACACTGAATGATGGGCATCAGGTTTTAGGAAGTCTCACCAGACCAAGTCATTGAGGTCTTTTCTGGAGAAGTGCCTGCTTCTGAAAATTCAACCTCTGAAATCCTGCATCTCCTCCAGTTGACAAATTTGATGATTGTGCTCCTGTGGCCCCATCCTCCATACCATTATATTCTGTCCCTGTGCATTTAAATTGCACAGACGCTTCAGGCCTACATGCATTTCCTTCTGCCATTACATTAGTTCTTATGGGAAAGAGCTTGCTTTGCTATCCATCAAATCACCAGCTGTTGCACTATTAGGAACGCATCCTTCATGTACGGTGGGCAAAGCTGTACTACGTGACCTGAAACCAGAGACTCCTTCGGTTCCCTTTTTTTTTTGAATGCCATTGGTGAAATGCTTGCATAACACGGTGCATTCAGAGCTAATTCGCTACACTTTCCTACTGCTTTTTACTGTGGAGCTTGTTGTCTCACTGGTTGTGCATATTTCAAGGAAAAAATACATTTACAGTATTTGTTTCCCAAGGCAATGTTTATTTAAAATTTCTTTGAGTTCTCAGGTTGTAAGATAAGCATAAGGGGAGGAATAAAAAAGGGTTTTTATTCAACTTGGAGCTGACTGGACAAGAAACTCATCTTGTTGGACAATATTTGGACAACTGATTTTGATAAATATTTCAAAAGCTGCACTTCTAATGTGTGAGACAGGACTAGAAGGAAAACCCAGAGCTTTTCTTAAAGTGAACATCTGCAAAGACTACAAAGTGCTTTAAAACTCAAAAGCTGGGTGCTAGCTGCCTTTAATTACAGAAGATGTCTTCCAGAAGAGAGAAAACACAAAATCGGCTTTGT